CCCACAGCCCCTCAAGGACCCCCAAACACACTCAAAGCCCACCCAGGACCCCACCCACCCCTTTTCTGGGGGGGCTTCTCTGGGCACTGGTGGTGCTGGGAGCCCCCCCGGCTGCGGGCGAGGAGCTCTCGGGTGAGCGGGGGGTGGGAAGGGGGAGGTCGGTGGGAAAAGGGGGGTCAGAGGGGATAAAAGGGGTGGTGGGACCCCAAATTGAGTGGGAGGGGAGAGGGACCCCCCAAAAGTGGAGGGGAAGGGAGACTGAGGTTCATGGGGAATGGATGGGAGAGGTGAGAAAAGTGGGGAAAGGTGGGAAAGCAGGGTGGGAACCCCAAACTGAGCATGACGGGGATGGGGGGGATGATGTAGAAGAGGGGGAGAGAGGAGGGAAAATTAGGGAGTTGGGATCCCTAGAATGATCTTGGAGGGGCTGGGGATTGAGGACCATGAGCTCCCAACTGACTATGGGGAGCTGGGGACTGCTGGATCCAATCTCAGCCTTGGGTTATGCCAGCAGGTTCAGTTCAGAGGAATTACAGAGGTGGGACTGAAGCACTTTTGCCCTCCAGGTTTTAAGGACGGCAAATCAGATCTATTTGATAGAAATGAATTATTTAGGGTTACAAATGATTAGACAAAAGATCTTCATCAGAATTATTTACTGCACAATAGAAACACTACAACCACCATTAGTACAGCATAAGATAGGACAGAGCTCTACACTAAAGCAATTGTTGAAGCAATTCTACTCAAGCTGGCACCAAAGCAAGAATTATGAATTAGAGAGGGATGGAACTCCCCCAGACCAACACTTGTTGGGAGATCTCTGCTCTCATCCTCCAGCACTGACCTTGGGGGGTCCCAGCCAAGGCAGGAATCTCCACACACCCCCCAAGAAGGGTTCTGTTGGCACAACCTGCCCCTGGCAAAGGGCACTGGCCCTTTCTGGTAGAAAGGGATGGACTGACAGTCACTGGACTCCAGGGGTTGCCTCACCATCAGGGGGGTCATTCGGGGTGGGAGCAGCGGCCAAAGCTCTTCCCACAGTCAGGGCACTCGAGGGGCTTCTCTTACTGGTGGGTCCGATGGTGTTTGGTCAAGACAGAGCTGTCACTGAAGCTCTTCCCACACTCCCCACACTTGTAGGGCCTCTCCCCGGTGTGGATGCGCTGGTGGGTGACGAGGGTGGAGTTCTGGTTGAAGCTCTTCCCGCAGTCGGTGCAGCGGAAGGGCCTCTCCCCTGTGTGTATCAGCTCATGTCTGAGGAGACTGGAGCTGTCCCTAAACCTCTTCCCACATTCCAAGCAC